TAAGAATAAGTGATAATTTTATATTCACTTTCGTTTATTTTTGCTACTCTTTACTTGTTATGTTTATATGCTTATTGTATATGGTATAAAAAATATCAATAAAGTTGTTTTAGTTTATAAAATAGCACTATGTACTACTAATAACATAATCAGCTTTGCTGAAACAGAATAAATAAGCAAATGAACTGCTGGTTAGTTTATTTGACATTAATATGAATAGTCTAATTTAATAATTTTTTATAGATTATGCTATTTGGCATGCCTAAATTTTACTGCTAAATCGACTTTGATCCAAGTATGGCGATACAATAAGTTTTGTTACGTGTTATTTTGCAGTAAACTAAGTTTCATTCAGTTTAAGTCTAACATTGCCAACAAGTAAAGCAGTATTTATTAATTATTGTAATTAATATAATAACGATGAAAGGGTTTTAAATACGTACGTGACATACATATGTGTGTAATAGTGAAAAGGTTGCAAATTTCATTTATAACTTCAATCTTTAAGCAGAAATGTTTAGGAGTTTAAAATTTTCTTTATTCGCAAGAAACGCTTACTTTATTCTTTTTTTTGCAAATTACAGTGACTTCTGATTTTTGGAGCTGACTTAAAGTTTCGGTATCTTCAGTTTAAGTTTTAATAATTATTACACTGAAGTCAAGTGTTTAATTATCAGTAAAGTAATAAGTTGTAGTACAGTTTGCATCAATCTGTATGCATGATTTTTAATTAAGTAGGAATATATAAGAAATATGGCTACTGTCATGACTGTACAAGTTGTATGGTTTAATATTGTGTATAGTATTCAAACTTGTGGAGAATTTAATTTATGTAAAATTGTAATGGCATTATGACAGAACTGAAAAACATTTATATAAAGGATAAAAGCAAGCAATGTATGAGATCACAGAAGATGTATTGAGCGATATCAGCTTCGTCATCGTTTGGATTGAGACGTTAGCTAAAGTTTACGTTAAACGTATTGAATATTTAATAGATATAAAATTGTAAATACTTTTTACTTACGTAAGAGTTTGTTTTAGAAACGAATTTTGTTTATGATGAAGTATTCATCACAATTAACATTATTACTATCATAGTGGTTGAGTTGATAAAAAGGAGGGAGGTACACACACGTACACATATACACACACATACACGTATTAGAGGGCTTATTTTGTCTGTTCAATAAAGTTCCCTCCAGGAAAGTAATGAAGAGAGTTTTGATTTGTTAGATTGATTTGTGCAGTTGATCGACCTTTTCACTCATTTTCTTGTTTAAACAACGGCGACGAGTTGCGCAGGTAAATCACTACCATTTCTACTTCTTGAATGAACTGCTGCTCTTTATCACACCTAATCATTTGTATTCCTTAATTCTTTTATTCATCCTTTTTTTTTTATTTATACCAAAAAATTTATTTACGCATTTATTTACTTATTTAATTTATTTACTTTATTTATTTACTTAATTATTTTTCCAGCATTCGCTTTTATACACAAAACGACCTGATTTAATGCTCTACAGCAGCAGCAACATTGGTATATATCGCAAATCTAACCATCTTATCCTCTATATAATTATAGATTTATGTGTGCACATGTTATGTTATATATTCATTCTATGGTAATCATCCTTAAAAGATCTACTTGAATACGCCTTTTAAACACTTTTCATCTTCTATATATATACATATATATATATTAGTAATATATCCTCTTAAATATTTTTTTATGCTTATCACATATTCAAGTAAATCTGTATTCAAGTAAATCTGTTATATATATAAAGTTTCGATAATGAAGAATTTTTGAAAAAATTAAAAACGTTTAACTGCGTTATACTGAAATCTAAAGTTTTTATGTATTAATTGTTTAGATTAGTTAGTAGCAAAATTTGCATAAAATATATTAACTAGCTTAAGCTTAATTTTTTTGCATAAAGTGGAAGAAAATTGATGATTGTATGTGCTTAATAGAGCATTCATATACTTACCTAAGTGTATACATACATCAAATCACATTTATATTAAATACTGCTAGCAATAGTATCTGAAATGATATCATGCAAACGAAGAATCATTATCAGGATTAGCACTGCTTGGCTAGTTTTGAGCAAATGACGCAAATGGATTTAGTTTTTGAGGGAAATTTGCAACTGTTCATTGCAGTTTGTATGAAAAATTCATTTATTGCTTACGGATTTGAAGTTTTTTAGCTAATGGAAGAAATAAACAAGGAATCTGTGTTTATTTCAGACATTTCCTAGAAAGCGAAATTCTGTTAGCATTGTTTTGGTTTTCTTGCAAAGTATTGCAGCTATTAATGAAAATAGAAAATGCAAGTACTTTTTTAATAAAATAGCATTCAGTGTGCTCTTTATTTGTATTTTGTGTAATATTTGCATATGATATCAAAGATAGTCATAAAACATAGATTATATTAAAGTATATTAAATTATGAATGATGATTCCATGCATGGGAAAGATAGTAAAATAATAGAAAATCTAATGAGATAACGATAATCAGATTAATTTATGATGCATTTTAAATAATAAACTGTTTTAGATATCAGTAAAGTGAACTGTAAACATCGGAAGAAGCATTATTTGTGTATTACACTTTTTTTTGAGCGGATACTTGGTTTGCCGCATTTTCATAATTTACAATATAAGTTATGAATGAGCTAACAAGCTTTAAAATTGAGCAATTCTTGAGTTTGTCTTTGTTACCATTTTGTCCTTGAAGTTGGTTAATATATGTATTATCTTACATATAATAAGAATTGAATTAGTGTTTTAAATATTGGTATTTTGATTAAAAACTGAAAAAAAGGCTGTAAACTTTGCATTTGTTTTCTTTTTATTTTTGGTTTATTTAAGTTTTCCATTTCAAGTATAAAATATAATGATTAGCTTATCGTTTTTCTTATCTGCTGCACAAACTTGAGTCTATCTTTTGTTTGCAAACTTGATTATCACTAAAAGTATTTCGAAGCATTACTACATTCATTATTGGTTTGGTTTTTTTTTTTTTCTATTTCTTCAGTAGAATCAATTTTTTTGATATTTTGATGATTTTAAAAGTAAACAGTTTTGTTTGGGAAGGTGAGCTGATTAGTTTCAGCCATGTTTACTCCATGTATGTGAAAAATAATAATCATAATAATGATAATCATAATAATAATAATAGTGATAATAATAATATACAAATTATTATGTTGACAGTTGTTACTGCTCGTCTTATCATCATCAGTTGTTAGTTGATTGGTGTGATAGAAATCAAAAGTGAATAATATCTACGTAATTATTTTACGTAAGAAATAAATGCAAACACTAATAACTATAAACTTATTTACTTTAATTTTAAAATGAAATTGCTTATAAGTTTTTTTAAACCAAAATTATTGACATCATCAACGTGAAAAGTTTGCCGCTATATTTTGTAATTTAATTTTAACGCTTCTTGCATAACGTCAAGAATTTGCTTCATTATTATTTCTTTTTTTTCAAACTGATTTTTAGATCAAAGCGATAATGAGTGTAAATCAAGTTCGAAGATTCGTCTAGATTACTTAAATTATTTGTTTGAAATAAATTTTATAATGAATTTTTAAGTTTGTATAGTGAAATGAAAGCATAGAATTGACTGAAAATGTTTTATAAATGCATATTACTAGTAGACATGACTTTAATACATATCACTAGTAGACATAACTTTTATGCATTCATGATTTATTGATAATAAAATATTGTAGTACAGGCAAAAAAATTGTTGAACTTAACTTTTCAGTCATTATTTATGATAGTCATAAATAAATTTGTATAGAGAAAAAGCAGAAAATTGTATTGCTTTTGTTTGTTTAAAAAAGCAATTTCATATTTAATCATTTTTACAACTTTTTTTTCCTTTATTTCTTTTTCTGAATATTAACATAGATGCATTTTATGAAGAAATATTTTTTATGACAGTTATTATTTTATTTGATTGATAATAAATAATATTATGCTTATGGTCAAGTCTTTAAGGCTAGAGTGAAAGCATACAAAGGCTTGAAATATATTTTTCATTGTTAACTTTTATGCATGCATGCCTTATTTTCAATCACATTAAACATAAGTGATTGATAACTGATTGCTTAAATTTTGTATTTTTTAGCTTATAAAGTTATTGTTATGATTTCACTTCTTAGCTTAGCTAATTTGCATAAGAGAAATATTTGTTCGCAATAAGTGCTCATCGGATATAAGGAGTGTATGAATTGTTAAGATAAGATAATGAGAAAAATGATAGCAAGAAAGTAAAGATAAGGTTATGAAAAGAACAGTGATGTTCATCTTAACACTTTTTGATATTTGTCTAAAAGTTTTTCAATACTCTCAAAAATTACACTTTGAAGAATCATTGTTTGATTTGTTTAAAGAATACGTTTCATTTTTGGTAAGTCATTAAAGTAAAAGTGTTTTTTACTAGTATGAACTGATTTTTAAATTTTCGAAATGAGTCTTTTAAAGGTTATATGAAATATTTGCTTAGTTTGTAAATGGTAATTATGCTAATCGGTGTTATTTTTTTGACTTTTTATCATCTTATCAAGCAGTTTTTTGGTTGAAATGTGACAACTGTTAAATTGGAGGTAAAACATATTTATTATTCAATCTAAGAATAACATTATGTAGTATATTGTTGTAAATTTTAGATATTTGTGATAATTTATAATTTGTGCAATTTGTTTAAATCACTTTAATATGATTTAAAACAGTATGAGATAAGTAAAAAATATCAATGTAATAGAAGTAATGATATTTGCATTTTTTGTTGTGCGTAATTTTTGATACGTTGAATATATGAGATATGCATTTTAAATACGATAATTTGGATGCATACAAAGTATTGAATTATTGCAGGCGAAGGGTGACAAGTGTACGTGTGCGTGTGTGTGTGTGCGTGTATGCAAAAGCAAGAATACAGTGAAACCAGCAGTGAACAAATTGCATTAATGATGGCGGGGACAAGATCACCTAGAAGTCTGTCCCCAAATGGTGGTGGCAGTTTAGAAGTTTTAAAAATGCAAATGGACACTAATATGGTATCTCGTCAATCAGCTATGATGGTCAAACTTACTGAAGAATGTATTATTGCTATAAAAGCTGCGCAAAGAAATCGCCAACATATACGCCTGAAAATTGATAAACAAGTTAGTTTATAGTAATTTTAGTAATTTATTAGCTTAATAATTATTTTTGCTAATTAAAATTTATTAATTTCATTCAGTTAAATTAAGGATGAAACAATGCCTCAATGCATTACCAACATTTTCTTGCTAAAAAGATGAAAAATTACAAAAAAAAAATTAGTAATCAGTTTTCAGCAAATTCTGTACATTCTTAATTTTGTTTGGCAGCAAAAAATTACTTGAAAATATTAAAAATTCTGCGTAATTTTTATTCATAAATCGTTTGTTAGAATTTTATTTTATTTTTTCCTCGTTTACTTTTCACATTATTTTTTATGATTCGACTTATTTTCTGCAAATTCCTTGAATGAATTTGATACAAAGAACATTGTAAAATGTTCAGTTTTTCAAACTTGCCTACAATTGAACATTTTATTAGTAATTTGCAAAAAAATTTACGCCAAAAAAATAGATGTTGAATTTTGTTATCAGCATTGGTATTATAATAAAAAGTAAAAATCAAGAATAAAATAAAATTGTGCATAATTTTATTTCCACTTTTATGTCATTGTAAGTTATGCATTAATTTGTAAATTTGGTAAATATCAAAAAAGAAGTAAAAGTCAATTCTCCTTCTAAGATACTAGGTAAACCAGGTTCCTAAACTAGGTATAACTAAACTAGGTAACTAGATAATACTTGTTTTGTTTATTTATTTTCTTTTAGGGAGGCAGTATTGAAATTGGTAGTGGTGAACACGCAACGAAATTTCGATTTGTCATTCAAGATGTGCCAGGTCCACCAGCTGATGCAGTTTCCTATGATGGTATGAAAAGGTACCGGACAGTGGCTACATTCCAATCTAAAATTCAGGTGAATTTAGCATGAATAGTAACAACATATTAATGCATTCTTAATTGGTATGTTAATGTTAAATCACATTGTTTAAGTAACTGTATATGCATCTGTTTGCATGTGAATCATAATTTGAATAATTTAAACAATATTCATCTGAACAGCAAATTGATTTCTAGGTGCAAACTACTGCAAAGGCACTATCAGAAACACGTGGCAAGTTTATTGAAGAAGAAAAAAAGAAAAAATTGAAAGAATCATCAAGGTACTGTTGATTACATGTAGTATTTTATTCATAGGCTATATAAAAGCGATCTACATCTCTCTAACTTTTGAATGTTAGCTTCATTCAGAGGATTTTGGAAACATCTTTACTTAAATTTTCACTCTCATCGTTTATAGCTATAAATTTTGAGTAAAGTTTTTATTTTAACCATTATGAGTATTAAAGAATTAATGTATAAAATGTAATTCTTCAGGCACAAACGTGAGCAATGTCCCGTAACTGTAAGACGTGCGACAAACCCATTAGCAATTGGTGCTCAGCGTCCGAGTCCTTCATCTTCTGCCCGATCTCATCATTCCGATTCATTAAGTAAAAACACAACATCAAAAGTATGTTTCCATCATTTTATCAGTTTTGTGAACAAACAATCATTATTGATGATTTTTATAATTTTTTTGGTCTATAAGATTTCTGTTTGGGAATAAAATGTAGTTAGACAGTGCGTTGGAGAATACATTGAGAATTAATCATACATTTTCTAGTTTTTGTCGATGAAATTATTTCTTGTCAAAATTTCTTGCATCAAAAAATCCTTGATAATGAAGCCAGTATTTCATGAGGAAGGTAGTTTTTTTTAGTACATACTTCAAATAAAGAAGTTTTTTAATCTGCATTTCGATAATAAGCGTTTCAATAGCAATGTTATTTACAGAGTAGTCATCATCACCATCAAGTTTCCTCGAATCCGTCAGCTGGTATGTCTGTCTTCTACATTTACCCATTTTAATTCTTCGATAATTTTGATTTTGAATAGAAGGTTCTTCGTAGAGGTAAAAAACGTATTATTTGCTGGTTTTTTTCAATTTCTATTTTGATAATATACATTTTTCTAACTACTCAGATCATACACCGTAGTTTTGTAGCTGGTGCCTTGTCATTTGTTCGTGCGGAACTTTCTCGACGACCATTAAGGAAGCGTGTTATACATTTAATTGTTCTCGGACGATTTTCTTCTATACGTGAAGTCATTAGCCAGCTGCGAAAAGATTCTCTCAATGAAGATATTGTTCAGGAAGATGCTGATCGGGTACAAGAGTTAGTTGATGAAGTTAGTTAGCTTTTTTAAATTCTTCGTGACTAGAAATGAAATTGTGATGACTTCAATTATTTCTGAATAGCTATCAGTGGAGATGGAACAAGTTTTGCTTCTTCTAAGTATTATTCTTTTTATATGAAATTTTTTCACTAACGATGACTTTAAGCAAACAAAATTTGCTATTCTGTACTGTTATAAAAAATTAGTATTATCTGTCATACAAACTCATTATCTGCAATTTTAGGGCTCTATTATCGTTTCACTATCAGCTCAGCTGTACAGTTTTTCAACTTTTTATCTTTTACAGATCTTCAAAAAAATTTTTTCCTTTCGTTCCATAGCTTTGCTTATAAGCAGTATCATAACTTTTTTCTTTGAATAATTCTATGACGAGAATTATTCTGCAGTCTACAGTAACTATGAATAATTATTTATTCAGTATTTCTCTCCTGTTATTTTTGAGATAGCACTCACTTATTTTCCTTTCATTCGATCTCATTTTTTTGCACTCAGGAATGTATCAGTGATTTGGACCCAATCAAAAACTAATTTGCTCTCATTTTATTTCTCAAAGAAATACGAAATTTTAAAAAATTGTTACAGTGGTATTCTAAAAATTTGGATATGAATCTGAATGACAAAAGCTGTAAGCAAATTTGAATTTTATGTGAAATTTTTTTGCACAAATACTAAATTTTGCTTTGTTGGCACTCGAAAAGAGTATTTACAGTTAATCGAAATCATACTTTCTCATTACTTTTGTAGTACTTTGCTTTATATTAAAAATAGTTTTTGTTCATAAATTTTTCATTTTCATTTATTGATTGATCAGCTCAAGCTAGTGTGTAATCAAGTTGTTCAGATATCAGTACAGTGATTTGAATTTTCTGAAATATGTAATGAAGGTATGTAACAGAGAGAGCATTTGATACCTTTACAACTCAAAAGTAAAGGGAAAAATTGATTTCAGTGTAATATTTCTGTTTCAATTTCAGATTGGAGAATTGAATAGAGAAACAGGCAAATTACAACTGAAGCAAATATTTTATAATGAGGTTCAGATTTTGAGCATATATTCATGGAAATGCATCATATATACCAATTTGGTAGCAATTGAGTAAAACTTGACAATTGTCAGTATCAAATTCAAAGATAAAAGTTTTAAATTTGATTATTTGAGATTTCGTTTGTATTTTGTATGCTTAATATTCTCAGGTAGATGCTCGTTGGCCAGGTTTTAGTTCTGATGAAAAGGCTTATGTTAGAAAAATATTGTCCGGTAATATGAATAATAATATCACAAATTTTGCACCAATACGGAAAACAAGGATTGTTCCTATGGTTGCTCCCACGTCAGTGCATAATAACCATGCTGTATTGTCAGTGGAAGGTTTGTTTGTTAGTTTATTTGTTTATTTTCTGTAAAATATGTAGAAGTGCAACAAAACAACATTCATGCTTGTACTGTAATAAATGGATGTGATCAGCTAATTAATGGTATGGTAGTAATCGTAAGTCCGAAAAATATATGTACTAGATTAATAATTATTATAAACTGTAGAAGTATTTCTAAATTCTTTTCATTCCTTAATTAAAAAAAATCTTTCTGCAGTATTTGTGATTCCTTTCTTGAGCACAACTCTTGTCGTGATACTTTATGTACCTAGAATTGCTTTCTGAAGGTTAATTAGGTAATTAACATATAAACGTGTAGGTTTATGCTATCGATTTGGGCAAAAAAATTTTTCGCTCTCTTGATCACTAATGTAATGTGTTTTACTCAAGCTTTTAGTAATAATTTCGGGAAAGACTTGACTTATTATTCTGAAGCAGTCGTATGTGATGTATGAATGATGCAAGATTGATTCTTAAAGTTCTTTTTTTTAATAATGTAATCTAAGTGGTCATTAATTGTGCTGTAATTTCATTGAAAAGAATCTTCATTTTTAAATTTGCTGCTTAGGTTTAATCTTCGTATTTTGTTTTTTATTGTTAGCATTACTATTTATTTATTTATTTTTTACTTAATATTTTATTAATTTCACAAGGTTTTTTCATGCAAAAAATATTGCCTTGATATGAGAGTACTGAATGATTAAAAATTAGTTGAAGGCAATGAAAATTAGATTTTTGTTACTAAACTAATCACAATTGTTTGTTGTTTTAAGAAGGATGAGGCAGCAAAAAATATGCTACTAATGTAATGTGTGTATTTCTAATTTACTCAGAAATTTTATTTGATTGTTTTTAATTAAGAAAAATTTGAATTAATTTGTGTACTTAAATCAAAGCGCAGTATGAGGTTTTTCTAAACAAAATCTGTTTTTTAAGTCAAAATTGTATGAATATGGATAGGTGTATTTTAAGAAATAATCAGAAATTGAATGAAAGTTGCTGAGTTTTTGGAATCAGTCGTAGAAAAAGCTATTACTTTATCATTGTTTTAGTTTTTAATCAAATGAAACAGTACTAATCAAATATATTTTTTGAAGGCTTTCTCAAATTTTAGACTCTTCATTACGTTCTGGTCACAACAAATCACCGGAATTTACAACATCAAATAGAAGTTCCAAGAGTCCATCTGAAACAGTAAATAGTGTAAATAATGCGGAGATGAAGTTAGGTTTCTGGAAACTTGAAATTAAACTAAACTTTAGCTAATGTTCCTCATTGAAATACAATGTTTTCAATGCTTTTATTTTGTATTTCATGTATGGTATGGAATAAGTAAAAATTATCTATAAAGTTGTTTATTTTCTAACAGTGGTAAAGTCACGGATGATCTCAGTACCTCTTCTAACGTACATAGTTCAAAGAGAAAAGCTCATGGTTATCCATCTTCTCAAGCTGCTTCAAAACGAGCACGGCAACAATCGTTATCACCACCAGAAGATCCGTCAAACGCTAACTTTGCAATTAATCCGCAACAAACAACAGTATGTGATCTTTACTTTTTTCATTCTTTCTTAGTTCAAATTGAAAAAAATTATTGTCATATTAATTAAAAGTTTAAATTTAAAATATTCCTGATTTTTCAGTACTAAAAAAGTATTAAGAAATTGAATAACAATTGTTTATTTGAGAAAAATATCAATCAACCTCGTACCATTGCAATAAGTTATACTGATCGACCCTCAGAGCCAGTTATTTCGAGAAGCAGTAATATTCCGCTTACTTCCACGCCACAAGTTAGCCGTGATTGGTTGAAAGAATTTCCAGAACCACGTAGTTTAGAAGAAGCAGAAAAATATTACTTAAAATTCCTGGTAAGTACGCATTTTCTATAAAATCTTTTGTTGTTATTTTTTTTAATAATAGACATTCCATCAGTTTATTATCCTAAACGTTATTATTTATTTTCTATTTCTTTTAGAATCTTTCACAAACATTTAAGCTTTTCTTCAGATGATAAGAACTATTCATTGGTTGATTGGAAGTCCGAATTTTGTGTGTAATAATTGCCGAAAAATGATTCAGAAATTGATCTGATGATTTTAAAAAAAAAAGCAAGAAATTGATCTGATGATTTTTTTATAAAAAGGGAGATGATGGATAAGATTTATATTTTGAGCAAGAACAAATATTTCTAGTGGTTCATTTAAAATTTATTCTTACAATTTCAGGAGGATTATCCAAAATATTTGACCTGTTACAATCTTTTGTCTGCTGTAGTAACCGAATTTAAAGAGCTGGAAAAAAAGTTAAATGAAGCACCAAAGCATACAAGAGAGCATGAAAAGGTTACTAACTTTGCTATGACTGTGGTTTTTTCGTTGTCATTACAAAAAGTTTTGTCATGCTATTTTTGCTTATATTTTACTTTACTATTAGAACTTTGTTACTATTCTATTTTTTTTTTCAAATAGTTTAACAAATTGAAAGAAACTGTTTTCAGGCTGAAGAAGCAATAGAAGCACGATATATGCATTATCAGCGCAACTCAGAATATTTAGAAACCAAGCAGAAACATGAAGATCTACGATCAAAGCTTGAAGTATTGAAAAAACATGTAGATTTTTGGGAAAAAAACTATAAAGCACAGTTTGCTACAGAGAAAAATAATTCAGAAAATGGTAATAAAAATAGTAATCATCATATTTCGAAGAATTCTACAACACTATGATTTTGCTGCTTGCAATTCTGCTTTTTATGATTATCTATTTGCAGTGTATCTTATCTTTAATGAACTTCTATTACTGACTTTTTATTCTTTCAGCTAGTCATGTTATTTCTGGTTATTATTTGCGCAGTATTTCATGTACTAGAATTTTGGTTGTGCATTTCTATCTTCCACAAATAGATAGGTTTATTTGTCCTGAAATATATACAGAAATAAGAAAGAGTATTTTTTAAACTGAAAATGAAAATTTTTTTGGTTTTGTAATTGGTGTAATCAATGTTCAGGACAGATAGCTATGCTCTTTTGTCATCTTACGGTGCACACTATGTAATCATTCCGTTGAGATTATTCAAGAATTTTTTTTTTAATAATATGCAAACACCTTTGGTATAGTTTAGTATGGTAAGTAGATGATCAGCGAGGTATTCAATAGTGTTTATTTAAGCAATGATTGTTAGCATATAAATATGAGCAGTTTTATTTTAGATTTGGTTTGATCATCATCTCTATCGGTGATTTTCGGTATTTTCTTCATTCCATTTTATTTTATACTCAAAAAACAATTAAAAGTGCTTTTGACAGATTATATTTGACAAAGGAATAAATACAGAGAGAGTACAAAAGAAATTTGACCAAGTTTTTGCTAGGAAAAGATAGAAATTGTATAAAATAAGGGCTAACAAAATTTTTTAGAGATATATTATGCTTGGTGATAATGCAGAGATTAAGCGTACAAAAATTATTATGCCTACTGATATCCGGAATGTATCTAATTTTGTATAAATAAGTCATGTGAAGCATTAAAATTAGGAAACCACGTTGCATGTATTTTTTTTCCTTTTTTTTTGTAAAGTTTAAACTTGAACAAGAAACGAAAATGAGAATATGTATTTAAATTTGTCGCTGATAATCATATCAAGAATATAATGGTTATGATTGTTCTGCATTCCTTTTACGAGTATTGGAATAAAAAATACAAAATATTTGCATTATCATAAAATAGATCATCTATTTAAAAATTCTCGAAAGTATTAGCTGTAAGTTTCTGCAATTTTTTCACTATACTATTTATTTTTTTGGTCAAAGCTTTTATGTAAAAGTAATTTAATTTGTATTCATTTATTTCTTCTTGTTTGCTAGTATTCGAGTACTCAATTATAGTTTACATTTTTTACCACTATATATTTTGAATATTCAAAGGTGAATAATACTGTAGTAATGAAGTAGAATTTTTTGTGATAAGATTTACTGCATCAGAATTATTACTGGTTAACATAAGCAAAGTAATATTTAGCAGAATTAATCACTAGATCATATTCTTAGTAGGTATTCCAAAATTTGAATCCGAGTTATCACGGTAAAGTAATTTAGTTCTGTATCTATAGATCAACTCTTCTTTGCGCATTTGCTGAAATTGAAGTTAATATTTTAAATATATAATAATTCTTAGTTACTTCTTTAATACTTTTATATTTTAATTTTGACAAACTTCGTTTTCACCCTTTCTTACAAATTATAATTTAGTCTACCGAACGAATCCTTCGGTGCTTCATGTCAGAAATTAGTATGATAATTTTTCAAGAGGGAAAAGTATTTCTAAATAATTGTAAGATTATATATGCAAATTTTGGTTGATTTTTCATTTTCAAGGAATTAATGAAGCAATTTTGTTTCTAAAATTATCTCGAAGGTATGTTAAAATGGATTATCAAAAATATGTATTTATTTATATACTCGATATTGTATACGATTAATTTTCTGAATTAACTTATGCTCATTTTCTCAAAATCGTGACTTTCAAGCATTAGTAGTATTATTATTGAATTATTGTTTTAGCAGTCAAGTATTCATTATTATTGAATTTGAATTTTGCATATGAATTTAATTATTTTAATGTCACCATTAGTTATTTCTTGTTCTTGCCAAGTTTTTTCGTACTTTACCAGATTTTTAATGAAATGAAAATTACTGAGAGTAAAATTTAAAAAAATAATGAAGTATAAAATTTGAATTGAGTAATTGTATACTGATAAAACAAAATTAATAATATCGCAAGCTCGTTAATTGTTTTATAAAATGTATTAAGATAGTTTAATAAGTGAAATTAGTCTTTCCTACATTTTATTTTCTATAATTGCATTGTGTACATTTAGAATAAATACGGGGCATACAATTTTGATGTTATCAGTGTATGTAATAAAATTAAGATTTTTCTATCATTCTTTTATCATTTTGAATTTAATAACTTGCACTGAAATGAATACCATTTAGATACATATACATCCTGAAATGTCTCTCAAACAATGAGCACATTCCAAGAATTTCAATTTGCATTATTCTTTTCAACTTTTGTGATTCTATTTCTATCTTCAATTTCTATTATTACACTAAGAGAATGCTAAATTTTGTTGCTCATCACAGGTTATCACAGCTTATCCATAAAATTATATCACTGCATGGATATTGCTTATTTCATATGGTTTTTTTTTTCATTACTTTTAAATTTATTAAAAAAGTTATCACTTGTATTGTTTTTATTATTATCGTATAAATTTACTTGTATTGCAATCATATCCTTCACCACTAAACTGCATTATTGTAATACAGTTTCATGAACTTTATATTTTTTTGTATACGTTTAAAAAGGATAAATTTGTTTTGCGTTTCATTGAGATTGTCTACATTTTTTTTTTTGCAATTTCAACGCAATGCCTTGTGGTGGCATGTGTTTTTTTATTAAATATTATCTTTTCAATATTATCATGATAATAATTATCATTATTATTTAGTTATGGCTTTGTTTGTATGTGTTCTAAACAGCATTGTGTGTTTACGCGCATTGATCTATTTCATGTTTGACTTGAATCATTATCATCATAGTAATCATTTATGCCATTGCAAGTACTAGATACACAAAACATTAAAAGTTCAAAATTTTGAACTAATAAAATTTGGGGTGGTCAAAGTTATCAATAATGTTTAAGCTATATAGTTATTATCATAATAATATTGATATGCACATTAATGTCGTGATCTTTATGTGTTTTATTTATTTAATTTTATCCATTATTATTTTTTAACCACGACATTAATTTTAATAATATAGATAGAAATTATGAATAATACATTTGCATATATATTTAATTATTTGCTTTTTACCCGTATAATCTTACTCATCTCTCTAACTTTTTTTGCGTTATTTTTTTACAATTGAGTAAATTTGTTTTGAAGTGGTAGATTACTTAAAGTTTTAGAATAATCTTTTGTGACTTTAGTACTGAATTTTAGTGGCATGATTGAAAGCAGTAAGAAGTAGTGTTTTTGGACACGTGCTATTAATTTTAATAACATAGATAAAACCTGTTAATCTTCTATGTTTAGTGTTGTATGCAAAATGTTTTCATACTTGAAAGGTCAGAGTTCGTGCTTTCAATTTGCTCTTTTCAACTTTTACATAATACGATATTTGTGGATCAATCCTATTTTTATTGAATAAAATGTAAAATGAACTATTCCATTCCATGCTATTCCACACAATGTTTAATATAGGAATGAAAAATAAATGACTTTAGTGAAATGTAATGCAAATGTATAATTTCGGAGTAGAGTAGAGTGGCATATACCAAGCAAATTTTGTCACCTCACTCAGTAATCAGTTGTGCTGTCCTTTGACCTAGAATTAACCTTTAACAAACTACTTCATTGACTAAATCATGATTGTACAAACCTGTACTTCCGGTTGTGAATTGTTGAATTGAAGGAATATATGCATAATTGAATATTCTGTTTCATATGTATGTCTGCTTGCAATCGTATTTAATTCAGAACTATTTCGCTTTTTTGCTCGATTTCTATTTTACATTTATTGTATTCAGAGTTTCTGAAAAATAAAACAGCCTCAGGACAGTTTTCCTTCATTACTGTCCACTGCAAAGTATCATCACTTCAGATATTTTTGTAATACTAATTTTTTATAAGAATACAAGAGTTTTTTTCATTCACATACTCTAATTATACTGTCAAAATTTACATACTACTACACTACTACTACTGGCAGTGAAGTAATTTAATAACTAACAAAAATCGTATGGTATGCTGCTGTACTGGCTAAATTCAAAATTACAAAATGTACAGTTGTCAGTTGCTAGCTTTTGCATGTTTGCAATTGTAAGAAGTATGTTCAGATTCTAAAAATGTAAATGGAAGATTAGCTGCAGACTCATGTGATTTTTTCATCCTTAACATTCACGTGTCATTCAAGCGTACGTGCATTCGCTTTTCTTTTTTGTATTTTACTTATGCCATTACGTGTGCACAATTATGCTTCTCACAGTAATAACTAAATTATGATTATTTTCTAGTACAGTTATTTCATTGAAAAAAATGTTATGCATGTTTTGATTGAAAAAATTAGTACAAAAATGTAATTTGTAAATATACTTCAATAAAAATTCGATTATCATTAAATTTACATTTGTTTATCACTAAATATCCTTTTAGTGAAACAAACGTTGCATTTTGGGACAGCATAAAATTATGTTTCTTTTTCAGCAAAAGTAGATGACGTGGATGATTGAAGGTGTCGTCGCATCAGTGCTGCGTGTTCATCTACAAAGTTATTTTTTTTTACAGGTTCAAGTGTTAGTTCGGTTTTACTGTAATGGAAATTAAATAAGTCTTTAAACTGTAAAGTGTTCTATTTCAGTGAAATAAATGCGATTATAAGATCTTAGTATATTCATGATAGATGAATTTGGCGTTTGATTAATGCAAAATTCTACACGTAAAAGTTTTGTACTTATTCTAGTCCACATCAAATATTTTCATTTGATTACTATAATATTTTACATCTTGTTTTAGTTTGCGTGTTATATTTTAAATAGTAATAATTTTTCCACCACATTTTTTACTTTATGCCATTATTTGGTCATTGCTTAGATGTAATTTCACTTATTTTTTTTACGTTAAAGCTTCTATGAGACAATTTCATTTCTTTTATGTCTCATTAACATGCAGGTTTAATTAGATTATGTGAAGTTTTGTGACAGAAAAAGTTAACTGCAATTTTGTGATTTAAGATTTGTTCACGTTCTCAATATAATTTTCAAAACGTTTTCTGGTGTAATTGTAATCAATGCACTACCACTGTTTTTTATTTTTGTATTTCAGTGTTGGTGAGTAAGGCTTTCATTGTTTTGAACGTCTTTTATGGAACGTTCAAATTGAGATTTGAAATGTTTACTATTGATATGACTTTTTTTAGGCATACTTATTTCGGTTCAGTCAAATTAATTTTTCAGTGTGGAACCATGGCCTCAATGAATCCGGAATAGTAAGTTGCAGTTTTCTACATCTAGTATACTGTCACTATTTTCTCTTTGGTATAGCCTCAGTTCATTATTCACTAATATTAAGAGACATTAATTATAAAATGTTAGTAGTTGATAAGTTTAAGCTAGTACTAATACATTGTAGGTAAAAGTTAGTTTTGGTACTCTTCACATTCCTTAACTGATTTTCAGTGATTATCTGTTTAAACTTCTATTGATTGGTGACTCAGGGGTTGGAAAGTCCTGTTTGTTGCTCAGATTTGCCGATGACACTTATACTGAGTCGTACATTTCAACCATAGGAGTCGATTTTGTGAGTCTAGTTTTTCTTTCGAAATAAGTCTATAGTCATAGTCTTCATTCTTCTGTTTCTTGGCTCTAAATTTCTTGCATGTTGATTAAATAAAATTACAGTAGCTAGAAATATCCATTAATGGATATATAATGTTCACATGTGTTTGAATCCTATTGTATTGTTATTGATAGCATGAATCTGTTAAACTTCTTTGTAATAGTGCGTATTTGTTAGTCATGGCAACTGAGTAATATGGAAATATTCTAAAAAATCATTTCACATTTTGTCTGGATTTATTTGCGAGAGTAAATGAAGTAAATCATTCACTTCTAAAAGATCAGGCTTGTGTTGTTGATTATTTGTTTTCCGCACATGAAATGAGATTGAGTAGAAGTTACTTCAGGACTGATAATGTAGGAAAAATTATATCGCAATAACTGTTATATTGTGCAAGCCCTAATAATATGAATTAAAGACCTCAAAAATCGAGGCTCTGCTGCATGCTGCAAATCAATTTCTTTGCCTTGCTCTCTCTGCTGAACGGTTAGTTAGATATGCATTCTCTGACATGAGCGAATTCTCTGTGTTTGTTGCAGCGTAAGAAATTATTATTGAAAATTAAGATCCACTATTAAATTCTCACTAGTGTTGTTAAGTGAGCATTTTTATCAAAGTAAGTGAGTTTATTAGTTATATCATTTTACCTAACAGAAACTTGTTCTCATAATGTTTACACATATCACTGCATGTGCTTCTTTTAAACCGTCTTTTTTTATTCATAATGCATCGTGTTAATTCTGTTTTCAAAAAATATTTGCGAAAGTAAGCAAATAATTTAGTTTAATATTTGATTGCTCTTCGTCAGTTTTTCATAACTACTGATATTAAATTTTGAGTTATATTAATTTTTTGCGGTCGAAAAAAGTTCAATTGAAAATACAATCAAGGATTTTGAATTGCAAGTTGTTTCTTATATTGCTTATTTCTTTGATAATTTCAAGTTTATAGGTTTACTTTTTAATAGAAATTTAGGATTTATAGTCGTTAAGGATTTACTATTCTTTCAGAAAATTCGTACCATCGATTTGGATGGAAAAACGATCAAGCTACAGATTGTAAGTATTTATTCAATCACGTTTACTCTCTTTTTCTTTAATTTTATAAATTATTATAAGCATAACTGTTATCATTGACATTGAGATCTAGAAATGACTTATCTCGGAAATTATGGTTGTGCTTTTTTTTAAAACTTCATTTGTTGATCCAGTGATGCACTAATGTGTCAATTTTAGATAAACTGAACTTTTTAAAAATTATATCTATAAACTTCTTTGCACTTAATTTTCTCGATCGTTATTTTATACTTTAAGTCTCGGTGGATATCTTCACGTTACAATATCATTTATCAGAATAGAATTGCCTGCTATACTTGAAACAAAAATAAAATTTTGGCTAAAATATTTAGTATTCTAAAAGAATAGATGATATTTAATTGTTGATTAATTATAGTGGGATACTGCTGGACAGGAACGTTTTCGCACAATTACATCCAGTTATTACAGGGGTGCTCATGGTATCATCGTTGTATATGATATTACTGATCAGGTGCAATTCTTATAGTAATTTTTTTTAGTGGTATTGGTCTTTAGAATATTTTCAGTAAAAGTTTTGCTTTAGATCGTCATTTTTTTACACAGTTTTTTACTGAAAGTCTGAAGCATGTATCTTGATTTAACTTTATGAGTTATAATTTACAAAATAAAAACACGGAATGAACTTTAAACGATCCTTAAACAAAGTTTGGGAATAAAATTCTTGTCGTGTTGATTGTAGGAATCATTCAATAATGTGAAGCAATGGTTACAAGAGATCGACCGATATGCATGTGAAAATGTCAATAAATTACTTGTCGGAAATAAATGTGATTTAACAACAAGAAGGGCAGTTGAACAAAGCGCTGCTAAGGTTATTACTGATTGTTTTTCTTTTCTCATCCTTTCTCAAAGTCTATTTCTTTTCATTTATATTTTATCAGAATTTTTTGCTCTAGATTTATGCGTTCTTGGTCATATTTATTTATTTTTTTATATAAAATCTAACATTTTCAGTACTCTAATACCATTTGGCTTTGTTATTTAAACTCGTCCCTTTTATTTCCAAAGTGGTTCATTATTTAAAAAATAGAATGCCAGTTCTTTTGCGTGTTTTGCCTAATCTTAACTAATAATCCGAAAAATATGAGGTTTCAAAATGATGCATTAAAATTGAGAAGAATTTTTCTGTGGATATAGTGAAAGGCAATTTATATTTTTATTTTCATGATTCACAAGAGCAGGTAGCATTTAGGTTGGATTTGATTTTATAGTTCAGTAAGTAAATTTTATTCATTTAGGAATAGAATTTGCTTTTGGTGCACTGAACATAAAGTTAATCATGAAGTTGGATTGATGTAGTTTTTCAAGGACATAGAAGAGTGAAATTAAGACACAGTTTTTAAGATAATTTTGGTATCTGCTTATGTCAGGTGATAGTGAGCATTTAACGGGGTATTGTCTTTTTTTTTAATCAAAACTTATTGTTAGGAGTAAACCCCATATGCATTCTGATTAATGAATTATTCGTTAATCATCTGATTGCATTGGGTTGAAATTTATTTTGATAAATCGGTTGTTCAAAATTTGGTGTTTGTGAAATGATGGTAAATAAACACTGGTTCTATTTTATGAATCAGTATTTTTAAATTAAGTTCCTTAATAAAAACGAAATTAGAAATAGTTTATTGTTTGGAAACACTTTAAGCTGAGTGAATTGGTCCTTTTTTATCAGCTCTATAAACTGCTGCTTATTATAAATTCTGAGATTTAGACTGCTGAGAAGCAATTTTTTTTCAAAATTTTGGGAATTTCGTTTTTACTTGATACAGGTTATCTTCTAAAATTGGAAATATTATTTATTGTTTTTAATTGAAATGATGAAAAATAGACAATTTTTGTCATAAAAGGTTGATAAGACGTTCACTTCTTTCATGAAATATTTACTAGATTTGGTTAGTTTATGTAAAAGGTCTAGAAGTGTCGTAGAGTCATGTATATTTTATATATACAACGACGTTCTTGCTGCTTCATGATTAAACTGCCAATGTCTGTTTTTTCAGGAATATGCCGATCAGTTGGGGATCCCATTTTTGGAAACGTCTGCGAAATCATCGACTAATGTGGAACAAGTAATTTATTTTATCTTTTATTGCTGTCGAAATATAATGTTTCGTTGTATATTAAAGTCCTAATTGGAGATTCTTCTATTTGTTTTTGGTTAAGTTTTTTATCGGACAAGAAATTTTCAGCTCTGTAGTTTTTTCATCAGTTTAGTTTTCTTTTTTCCATCTAATGTGATTTTCCTGAGTTTGCTAATAATGTTGCGGTATGTATTTAATATAGGCATTTCTTACGATGGCATCCGAAATCAAAAATCGAATGGGTCCCGTTCAGCAAGTTGGTACAGGTCCATCAGTACGTATTGGTGGATCTCAGCCAGTGAATGAAAAAAAAAGTGGTGGCTGCTGCTAGAAATTGTTCCAAGTATTTTCTCTCCCACTAGTCTGTTATTTCTTTAATTTTTGCAGCATGTAAACGTCAAGTTTATAATATTTCTATTCTTAGTAACTTTCATATCTTTCTTCCTAGCAATTTTTCGATTTTTGATTCAAGTATTAATTGTCAGCAAAAAATCTTTACATCACTTCTTTTTGATGTAAACTTTTGTATTTTACTGTATGTCCTTTTTTAATTACATTGCTTTTGGGATGTTTCTTAGTTTCCTTGGCACTAGCTCTAAAAACTGTCGATTAAGTTAAAACTAATGCACGGCATATATGTTCTGATAAAAAAATGTGGTGTGTTCTGCTTTTATAAAAAAAATTTCCGACTTCCAAGTATTGCGATGATTTCGAAGACGGGAAAAATGTCATTTTGAGCTGACTTTTAGCGTATTGGATTGACTTCTACCATGTCTTCTTGAGCAAGTTCCGGGATTTTTTTAGACATTTTGTGGTGTTCCAAAGTATGCAATCGTTGGTAACAAAACTAAGTTACTGAAAATCAACTTAAGACTACTAATGTTGTGAACACGTTCTGTGTACGGTTAATGAAAAATTTCTCCTCATCTTTTTATTTTTTGTATTTTTCATTCGTCATGTATAATTTAGAAGCAGTGTTTAGATACATTTTAAAGACAGCTGTGTTTGTGCGAAATTGCTACTAAAAATGAAGATATATGCACATGTTCTCATTTCATCTACATATTATAGCATTATCACTTTTTGAAATAATGATTTCTCGTCAATTTTTGTTGCTGTCAGGTTCATTTTTATTTGTTTATCTCTTATTTTACCAATTACAGTCCTTTCTTTTTAGCTAAAATAAATATTATTATGTGTATTGCTTCTTGTGTGCAGTTAATTATAATCTTTTATAGTTGGGCGCGATAAGCCAGAATTTGAAAAATTATGTGAGCGTAATCAACGTCTAAGATCATTAAATTAATTTTGGGGAGTGGTCGGTCATTTTTATCGTGTTTTATTGTTCCTCATTTTTAATCAGTTGTGCTTATTAGTCTGGACTGGAGTTTGTAAAAAAAAAGTAGTGAAGAAAAATGGCAAATGGAACATAGATTTTACTAGTAAAAATTTAACAACCCATGAATCAGAATTGGTGGTGATCAATCAAAAAAATTGAACAAAAGTACTTACAAGCATAGTTACATAACTGAACAATAGGTTCTCCTTGTATAAATCTAATTAATATTGTTTGAAAGCTGATATGATGGTTATAAGGAAGGAGAACCCACATGTTATTCATCCTGAGTAACTGTTTCATCGTCAAACAATACAAAACTAATAATCGCTGCAAAAATTCTATTAAATATTTGAATACTTCGTAAATAGTATTAAGATTAGGATTTAATATTAATCCTAAGTATATGTAGAATTTTTTTCAACTTTCACATATTCATAAGTTATTCACGTATCTCTGAAATAGTGCGAATTTCCGATTGTAAATTTTGGCACTCATTTTCTGGTTATGATCTAAATTTTGTGGGCAATTTTGTAATGATATTCCGAAGTTTTCAAAATTTTTATAGTAATACTAATTGAAACATGAAATTAACCTTAACATTAAAATCAAATAATTATGTGATTCAAATTCTTAATTAAATATTCGGTTAAGTTTAACAAAAGTAAATTAAATTCTTGCACAATATAACTGTTAGTATTTTTGCTCACACTTACCAAATTTCAAATTACAGTTTGATGCTTACAAAATAACACGTAATTCCTCTTACTACATACTTGATGATATTCAATTACTTGCGTATTAAGATATTTATCAATTACTATCATTTCATTTTCTTTTTATATTCTATTTTTCATAAGTAAAAAGTTTCAAACTTTGAACAGAAATAGAAAGTAACTGATGAAAAATTAAAGAACCAAAAACAAAAACAATGTACAAGTTCTGACAAATTAATGAATAATCAGTTAATGTGTGATTGCTGGATGTTGAATGTTATTAAGGAATTGTAGTGCTTGTACAGGAGGAAATTGGCTGAGAACACTAGCTGCAGTAAGTGACTGATTTAAGGCTTGATGAGTTGCTAAGCCTAAAGGACTTGGCATCAGGCTAGTCTGGGCTAGTTGATGATGTCCAGCAGTTTGTACGAATAGATCTTGAGAGAAAGTTGTTCCATCAGGGATATAAGACTTATCTATAGTAGTCTGCAACTGTTCTCGATTTATTACTTGCTCTTGATGTTGCTGTTGCTGTTGCTGTTGCTGCTCTTGATGATGATGATGGTGATGATGATGATGTTGTTGTTGCTGATGCTGATGTTGTCGAAGATGAGAATTTTGATGATGAGTAAGTGAAACAGAATCAAAATCGGCTGATGAGCAAGCTTTTGTTAATTTAGTCTTACTGCTAAAATTATTTAAGCTATCACTATTGCTACTGCTTACAGTGCGTTGAAGTAAATTAAGTTGAGATTGTGCAGCTTCAGCATCAGCTCGAGCTTTCATCGCATGAGATTTCATATGAGCATTTAAACTCTTTACCTGTAAAAATATAGATATTAACTTATATATTTACAACAAAAACATGCCACTATTAATTTTAATTATGCAAATTTTTATCACAGATTGTAAAAAAAATTTATTAACAGATTTTATTTGACAAATTTTTACTCTAAGATTTACCTTTTCAAAGTATTTATCACAAAGTCGACAATGAAAATAGCCATCAGCAGCTGGCTGGGCACCTTTTTTTGTAGGGGTGCGATGGACCTAAATTTAAAATGAACTATAATAATGATAAAGATCAAATCTGATTGCAAAAAATAGATCAAGACTTACCTGGATAAGCGATTGATTTGCAGTATCATTCTCCATTGTCCACGGGCAAAGAATACTTGATTGCATGGGCCTAGCGAATTGCATCATAGAATGCTTAGAATCTGCTTGTGGAGAAGATGAAGATGAAGAAGCTGCATTCAAATCTGAGTAATTCTTCTTCATCTTACTAAAAAAACTGCACTACTAAAATTAAAGATTTAGTTTTATCTTTTCTAAAAAATCATTTGTCAACATGGATAATCACATCCGTTTTTTGCTTTGCAGAATCACTGCATAATATTTTATATCAAAGCAATTGTCAGGCTACATTCAAAAGTAGTATATGCAAATTAAAAGTAAGACTTATATATAAATCACAAAAATTATCAAAATATTTGCCAAACTTATAGAAACTTTGCTAACATTTTCAAAATCAAATTGCAAAAGTATAACTTACTCTAAGTCACGTGAAATATCTGATAAGTCACTTCCTGCTTCTGAACCACACAATTCACTACTCCTTGCTGTTTGACTATTTGATTGCAAATCACAACTTTCTTCCAGATCAAGCTGAAATAATTAATCAAATTAAAGCCTTCATTGTCCTGCTTAAAAAAGATCAAATTCAAGAAGCAATATAAAATTGGCAAACCAGTTGCTGCATTTCTAGCAATTGACGCTTCCGTCGTAGATTCCTTAATTTTCTGTAGTCGTCTGGACAAGCTTTCTTCCACATATAATAAAATTCCACGCATTGTTTTACTGTTTTGTTACCTAACTATAAAATACAAAACTATATTTACTATAACTTGCCTTAAGTTACTAAATTTCGCATAGCTGCAAGTTAAGCCTTTACTAGTATCACTTTGTCCCACAACTAGTTTCATTTTTGAGTTTTAACAAGTTAAAAGATGGATAAGATTTATTAACCTGAGGTCAGTTAATTATGAAAAGTAGAAATTCTCCAGTTTATATAATTCAATAATATTCAAATAATATACTTTCATGTTCACTTGCAATATTTGAATGACGCACTTATACACTGAAGTATAATAAAATACTTATAAATTTGAAATTCACACTTGAAAGATGTTTCATTTAAAAACTTTACTTTAAAAAATAAATTTTCGAAAATTTGTATTTGTAATAAATCATTCTTAATTCTCAAATTAAAAAACGCTTCAGCTTCAGTAACATTACACTGAATTGAGCATTAATATACTTACTTTCTTCACTACGCAAAGTATTTTCTTCAAACTAGTTTAACTTCTTCTGTGCAAATAATTGTACAGTTACACTTCTTTACTTTCAAATTATTCACTGAGAATATTTTTTGTACTAAAATTACTTTGATTACGCGCGAGCTATTTAAAATTGTAATACTTATTTGCATATGAATTATTAAAATTTTTAAATTATTAATAAAATGTATGGAAAAATCAAAAGCATACATCCATTGCAACCTGATGAAAATCTTTTTCACTTTTGTAAATAGCATCTTGAAAGAAATTAATCTCTTCTGGTGTCCAAGAACTTGTGTCCGTGTAAGTTGAATTGTAAATAATAGGATATTGACTCCAATCTAATGTATCTAATCGCATTAAATCCAAAACAGCCTCTTGAATATTTCCCTAATAATAATTATCTGAATATAACTAATTAATACTTCAAAAGTGGCAACAAAATTTATTTAAGTCATTAAAAATATTGAAATTAATTATTAAAGTATTAATTATTAAATTTGCAATAATTAAACCTTATTTTCCATAAGCAAATGTAATGCTAATTCTCTGTTTCTGCCTGGTCTTGGAACTGCTTTACTATGAGCTAATAATTCATAAGCCTCAACTGAAAATATATATAATTCAAAATTAATTTAGAAAAATAATTAAAAATTTTATCGCTCAAAAGAATTTCCCATAAAAGTTTGCAGATATTTTAATAATATTCGTACTTAATTAATCATTGATTTTATGAAAATATGAATTTATTTACTCACTAATAAATTAAATTCTACTCTTATTTATACATTTTAATTTAAAAGTTTTTCTCTATGAACTTTCAATTATTTCTTTTTCTATACTTTATTACTTAACATTGTAAAATTTATTACTGCCACAATTTTTGCTGTTTTTTTTACTTTATTGCTGTAATTATTAATTTTTTTAATGTTGCCAATTATTTATATTAATAATATAAAACAGCAAAAATATGTTTATGAAGTTGAAATTATTTTTCAATCAATAAACCATACCAGCAGAATCATCAAGGTGATCAATGATGTTGCAATTAAAAACAGCATCATCTCGATCGGGAATACTATCTCGTTCTTCATCAGTTATTGCTCGATCAGCCCATTTCTTCACTTTTGCTTGATAATCGCGTCCACAATTTATATGCCTGTTATTATCAAGCAAACAATCTGCTTAAAAGTTAAAATTTCCTTTAAAAAATCACTAAATTTTGTAATTTTTGCATATTTTAAGTATAAATTTTATAATTTTTGCATATTTTAAGTACAAATTTTATAATTTTTGCATATTTGAAGTATAATTTATTCATTATTTACAGTTATCCTAAAAAATATAATTAAAACTAACGGTACAGCATCAGATTTTTGTGCAACACAAATGTCTTCAGCAATATCAGAATTTGAAGAAACTTCACGATGAACTTCAGCATCTAATGTAACTGATAATTTCCTGAAAATCATGCTTACTTCAAGTTTACATGCAATAAATATTAATTAGAAAAAAACTTTTCTTTTCAAAAAAAATATTTTTAATTTTAAAAAATTTTCTAATATAAAATTTGATTTTTTATTTTTTAAAAATTAGTATTTAAAGTCATAATAATGTATTAATTATAGTTTAAACATTGTATGCAATTATGGCAAAATACGTATCTCGACAAATATGCAACTAATAAAAAAAAATTTAAACAAAAAATTGGAATAAAATTTGCGTGAAGATTTACGCTTAAATTAAAGCACAAAAATTTATTAAAAAAGTTTCATACAAATTAGTGCAATTATTTTTGACCTGGGCAATACGTTGGATACAGTAGTTGTAGATGAGTTTGAACAGCTTGAATTACTATTCCAATACATATCTGACTTTTTTCTTAATACCTCCAGGTGTTGTAATTTGTCCTATAATCAAAACAATTATAATTTTTATTTAAAAGATCAAAAGTCCAGATGACTTTTATTTAGTAGATCAAAATGGATCAAAAGACCAAACGACTTAGATCAGTAAATCAAGAGTCCAGATGACTTTTGATCCAGTGAATAAAAATTTTACTCGATTTGGAATACTTTTATCTCATTGCATTAACTTGATTACTTCTTGAATAAATACTAAATTGCAAAATACAATAAATATGCAATAAGTTAACAGGTGAAATAACTTACACAAATTATGCATGAAGTGAGAAATTTTATTTTTTAAATTTATTATCAAAATCTTTGAATTTGAATTAAATCAAGTTTTTGAATTTTGTTTCTTATCTTTTCAAATTTGAAAATCAACTTCATACAGTATGCATTTTTGAACAAGTACAAAATAATAACAAGCTTCACAATATTGTTTAGCAATTTTTTTATGTATAGGGAAAACGTGAAATAAACTTACAGCAAAAACGTGAGATGAATAACACAAGCCATTTTTACGTACAGGTTTTTGTATCCCTTTTTCAGTGAAAGTGTCATCGAGCAAGTGTTGTAAGTTTTTCTTATTTGTTTTCTGGCTAATTTCTTTTTCATAATGAGATGATTCACTTACTAAAACGCAGGATATTCAGAGTTGTTTTATTAAACGCTGAATATTTCCCCTTAATCAGAAGGTCAACTTGTTTGCATGGTAAGGTCAAGCTTTGTAAAAAGCATGAATTGAATCCAATTACATTTTAAAGCTTGTTTAAAAAACTAATTATTCATTTTTTTTTAAATTTTCTTTCCAAAATTTTTTTGATTTTTTGTAATAAAAAATTTTTCACTAATATTTTTCAAGAGATAGCAAATTTGTACTATGCAGCCAGCACAAATTTTGCTAAGTAAATGATACAAATTAATTTTTGTCCATTTAATTTTTCACTTTTCTCATTAATTTATTCATCTCAATTTTATTTTCAGTTTGGTTTTAGAATAAGTGATCATTTGAATTTACTGTCTTTCGACTAATTAGACAGTTAAAAGTTTCAAATGCAACCTTTGACTTCATTTAAAAAAAGTAACCTTGACCCTTTAGTGTACTGTCTTCTTCTGCGCAACAATTGTCATCATCTGATGTTTGAGCCGCACTTATCTACAAACTATTGTCATCTTAATTTTTACTAGTCATATTCATGAAAGTGTCTTAATCAATTCACAGATTACAAAAACAGTGATTACAATTTTTCAGCACACGTTAAACACGTCAGAAATCACGTTAATGATTGATCATGTTATTGAAGAAATTTTGTTTGCAGTTTAACATGATAGTACAACTTTCCAAGGGCGTTAAATTTACTATGAAAATAATTAGTGTTATATATTAAGTATATGTTGAAACAACTTTGCACGTAAGTAAAGTTCAAAATGAAAGCATTCATTTTCACGCACTAAATTCTATTTTTTTGATTACTATATTAGATTGACAGTTATTTGATGCAACGTGAATTAATCTTAATAATCAGATAAAAGTAATCATTTACAATATATGCGGTAAAAATAACCCTTGCGCAAGAAGTTTGAGAAATTTTCCAAAATAATCCCGAGCCTCGTCTCATTGGACTTAACATGGGTGCTGGCGTGTATGGCGCAGGATATTTCACGTTTGGAACGAGCTCAAAGTATCTTGGTGATCGAAGTTGAGACGAAAATCGTTTGGGAGAGATAGAGATATTCGATAATTTACTACTATTATAATTATTATTATAATTATTTTTAGTGCCATTTTCATTACTGCTTGCTTGCATATCGTCAGGTGTTGGTACACTAATTGAGCGACCTTTGGGTAATATTCGCTCACTGCTAATTCTGAAACTTTATATACAATTTGTTGAGTGATTGAATTTGAAATAGAATCCGTCAAATTTTCATGATAAATTACAATTTTATTATTATAGCAAGTTTTACAGAAGAATTTGATTTCTTCAAACTTCGTTATTGCATTTCGCACAAATTAATAAGTTATTGCTTGGAAATGAAATACTAAAATAGATAATATAATTTAATACATTATGCTTTGTATTTGTTACTTTTTATTTGTAAAAGAATATGAAGTTTCAAGAACAAAATTTTTGGCAATTATTATTTTTGTTCATAATTTTGATAATTAAAATATAAAATATGAAATTATTACAATCAAATTTATAAAATTAATAGTTGACTACTAGTTTTACTTAAATGCTTCCTTCTCGCAGGAAATAGACGTATTTTGTTCAATTGTCTTCATAACTTTACACGTATTCATTGCTTTACCAATATTTTCATAACACGTATGATTTGAACAAACTGTACGAGAATCATCTCCACTTCGACTATTACTTGCAGACATTGTTTCAGGTCTGAAGTTAGTTACTGAATGTATTGCAAGCATTGCATCGTCACTTAAAGCCATTCTAAAAATTATAAACAAAATTTAAATGTAAAATTAATATTTTTAAATAAAAAAAATGACTTTTTTTAAGTATTTGTTGTAAAATATTTTTTTAATGTAAAATAAATTGCTTTTGCATTGCAAAAAACATTTTTTGCAATTTTCTTCTTGCAGAAATTAAAAATAAAAAATGACAAAAAATTAATTAGTAATGCAAAAATTAAAATTTAGCCTTTACATATTAATATAAAATTTTGTACTGTACTTTTATTCTTTTTTTTTGATTAAAATTGCCTACAGCATTTAATAGTTTATAAAATTATATTCACTAATTTGTTTGGATTATTTCTATTTTAAAATGTAATTATTTTTGTGCTTAATTTTGTTAAATTGTTGATTAATTACTTACCTTTGATATAATGAATTGACAGGTTCAGAGGTCAAATGTTTAGGATCAAAGCTGTAGCGAGTAGTGTCAGTTTCTGTCACATCTATTTTTAACGGTTCCAATACTCTACTATCATTCTGCTTTACCAAATCCTAAAAAACAGCTTATTAAAATGCACTAATTTTTTTTCAATTTAAATAAATCTCAAAATTTCATCTCTTCAAATAACAAGAAGTGAAGATATCCCTTTAAGTAAATAATTTGATCTTTTATTATTATTCGCTATTTTTGCTTATAACATGTAATCATTCATATTAACTTTGACCTTTTGACCTATTTTTTTTTAGTAACCAAAAACTTTTGTGTTGAAAAGAATATGAAAAAAGCTCAAATCATTTTGCTTGAGATTATCTTAACCAATATAATGAAACAAAAAATATATTCTTGTTCATTTCATCTAAAATATTAATATATCAATAGGTACCTTGACAAAATTATTCATCAAATACAGTTTGTTCTATTCTTATATTTATGTTTGCAAAAATTTTTCAAGTAACATTTTTGTATTAGCCTTACTTTTTACAAAACTGGATTTAGAATAAATAAATTTCAGACATGTCTGCTAAAACAATATTTATTCTTCAATTTTTAAATTTTGCAACTCATTTGATGACATCATGTAAAGTTTATCCTCTAATATGGTGACCTTTAACTGACCTTATTGATTATGTCAAAAAACTAATGCAATGAATGTAATACTGAATGTGTTAAGCAAGAATTATAACAAATAATAATCTATTAATAAATCTTTATCTTTTGGAAAAGGAGATTTTGATTCAAACTTCGAAACTTATTCATTCAATAATGTATAAAAATATATTTACTAAAAATTCATTTAAATATTGAATAAATTTGAATTGAAAAAGACAGCACTGAAATTCATCAAAAACAAATTTTATTGCATAAACAACATTTCAAAAAATTGCAAATAAAGCCATTTTGTAACGTTTACTTGACTTTTTTTTTTGTAAATAAAAAGTTACGATAGATAAAAATTTTTTGAAAAATAAAAGTTATGGTAGCTAATACATTATATAAGGATAGTAAAAATACTATGAAATACAGTAAAATCTATCTATTAGTGCGCAAAAATAAGACTTACTAAATAAAATAATAGAATTTTTTCTACAATCCTTACATACTGTATTAGCTAGCATAATTTTTCGCTCGTAAGAAAATTGTAGTTTTTTAAATTTTGCTAATTCCATACAAATTTTTAAATCATTTCTAGAAAACTTTTTATTAATGTTTTAGTATTTTCTTTTGAAACTAGCTAGCTATTCATCTGATTATATTTGAAAGAATTGTACAAAATAACTTAAAATTGAAGGTCCTGGGGATATCGTATCTCCACCTTCGCCGTATGACATTTGGGAGATAGCACGTGGGAATACGAAATTATGAATGTTCTCGTAATTTCCTTGATGTATCTGTAATTAATTAATTACCAATATTATTCATCTCTTTACAATATTCAGCAAAAATATAACAAATATTACTGATCACTAACAGTAAGCAAAGTTTGACCTCAAAATAATGAGAAATTAATTATGCAAATGCATAAGATATATTTTAATTAATAACATTTCCACTACTGCTAGCATAATTTGTCTTTATTGCAAATGAATTTAGCTAACTAATTTATTTAAAGTTATTTGTGCATTATACAAATTCCTAAAGACAATTTACTCATGCAAAAAAATAATTAAAACTAATTTTAAAAAAAGTTTTAACTCTAAAAGTTGGATAAATTAGAAACAAAAACTAGATATATTCGACTCTTGACCTGAACAATTATAAATAATATATATTAAAGGCATAAATATGTCATAAAATATATTTAAAAATATTTATTTGCTTGGAAATTCACTTTATTACTTTTTTTATTCAAGATTTTATTTTTTTTTTTGATTTTTTTCTTGCAATTTTTATAAAAGTAATGAAAATTCTTGAAATCAAGTAATTTTCGAAAAAAATTTCAAATGACTTGCTAGTATTTCAGTTCAGTTAAGTTCAGTTACTTAGTCATTTAGTTAATTAATTAGTATTTCAA